GCATTTGACAAGAAAGTTTGTCCTCGTCTATTCGAAGAAGAAGACTTAGTACTAAGAAAGACATTACCCATCCATAAAGATCCCCGCGACAAATGGACCCCAAACTACGAAGGACCATATGCATGAAAAGGGTCTTCTCTGACGGAACCCTAATTCTCACAACCATGGATCGAGCGGAGTTACCACGACCAGTGAACTCCGAAGCAGTCAAGAAATAATTTGCCTAGAAAAAGAGGATAAAATGCCCGTTGAGTCGAAAACCCGAAAAGGCGACTTAGGAAAAAATTAGGGCGTTCCGGTGGGTTGAAAACTTGAAAGAGCAATCCAGGAAAAAATTATGGACTTAATAACATAATAAAACCCGATAAGTCAAAAACTCTAAAGGGCGACTTAGTCAAAAAGGGTATATCATCCTGGTGGACTAAGACTCGAAAAAATCAGTCCAGACGAGAATTAGGGATATCCAAAAGGCATATGAATGTAAGCACGTAAGCCACACTACAAGAGGAACTCAGACGAGAGCAATCAATCGAGTCATTTTCTTTAAAAGCTAAGTATCGTGACCTCAAAGAAGTTAGGATAGTAGCATGTGTTGAATTTAATAAGGACATGACTAAATTTGTTTTCCATTGCCATTTTTACATCTTTCTAGATTTTCGGTAATCTCCCCTTACAGGAAATACTTCTCTATGTACTATCGCCCATTTACAGGCCAAATTTCTCAATAAATGAAGTTTTTTTTCGAATCTAATTCTTTGCTTTTCAATTCTTTCCGCTTGACTACAAAGTGTCGATTATTTGTGAATAATGGATTGAAACAATTGGGCATGATAAAAAGCTTTTGAAAACATCTTTACTTCAATTTTGTAACGTCAAAGGGATCATATTCCTCCAACATTGCTTTTCAAGCAAGACACAGGGTCCATGTATCAACGGTCACAATTTAACCAACATTGGAGTTTCTTCCTTTGCAAAGGCACATAACACATTTCTAGATATCAGGAGCATCATGTCTTGTTCCATGGAGCTTATCAAAATCTCAAAGGTCGGAAAGTTGGGACGTTACGGAAACGCTGGTTCCCGCAAAGACATACATTGAATGCACATATTATAAAAGAGGCGTCTGCCCAAACAATGCATCATAGATAAAAATACATCAATTCAAAACATGCATGCACATGAACATGCACACATGGCATAGGATTTGTGCCCACTCTTAAAGGTCCAATCCCCAGTTATACTGGTACAATTCCCAGGTAGGAGTGTTTATTGGCCAGTAAGTAAAACTCCTACAAACGCCTTTTCAATAAAGGACTTCCCCAACAAGTTCATTCACAGTGGATCCTCAAAGCAATCTATCCATTAGTCGGTCATTCTGAATGGTCGTTATCAACTAGTGAGCAGGTATCCACCTTCCATGCCCAATTTATTAACTTATCCGACACAGGGGATACGTTCCATCAAATATACCAGAGTTTTATTAAGGGATTTTATCAAAAGGGTTTTATTAGGGGTTTCACCAGAGTTTTATCAAAGGGTTTCATCAGGGGTTCCATCCAGAGTGATTGGGGTATCACTTGAGTCTTACCCGATTCTAGTACCATGATCGGATGATCATAGGAATCGTATGCAAGTTTCACACGGATGGATTGAAATTAATCAATAAGGTATTGCCAGGGATACATCAGAGTTGGAAACTAACTGAGCACCAAGGATTGGTCAGTCCTTTCTCAGCTCTAGAATCTATTAACTCCGCGATCAAAATTAAAGATCCTTCTTATATTTAATCATCTCCTCCTCGAGAAGACAAAGACTCAATGTCACCTTTTTCACTTTTAGTGATTTTTTCTCTTTTATTTATTTATTTTTAATTTCTAACTTTTTGCATAAATTTTAAATCACAAAAATAATATTTCTTATTGATTTATAATTAATTTTCTTATTTTTTATTAATGTATTTTTTAAATATTTTTTTATTAAAATCATGAATTTATGCTTAAAATTGTCAAAATATCATAAAAGAAATTACAATAAAGTCATAACTAAAAACTCGAAGAGCAAGAGAAAAAAGAGAACCTTATTTTTTCTTTATTCGGAGAGAACTTCCTTTTTGTAGGTTGGTTTCCTCCTACTATCTCAATATTTGTTTGATATGTTATTTTTAGTTTAATTTTTAAAATTTAGAGTTTTAGTTTGTTGTAGACGGTTTGGTATTGAAGTTTTGTTTGTTTATTTTATTATTTATTTATTTTATTATCATTATTTTACTCAGTGGCAGAGCCAGAAAAATTATGAAGTCCGGGAAAAAAATTTAAAGACTGCAAATTCACATTGTATATAAATGAGATAGCCTACAAAAACACAATTTTTACAAACAATATTTGAATAATTTGAATTTGAACTACAAAAAGCATAAACACACAGTGACATAAACCAAATTAGAAGGAAGGGAGTATAATTTATTTTGACCGGGTAAAATACCTTAGAATCAACGGTGGCACCAGAAATGTTCCTAGACTTCTCAAATCCAATAGGATGCACTGCAAAGTAAAACAAAAGTACTCATCAGCACAACAACAAGGACAAAACACGTATCCACCACCAAATAATGCAAAATGCAAGTTAACTAGTACCATTAAAATGAAATGTGAACACTTCTCTAGAATTCCACCAATGAACCTCAAACCACTGTTTCAAAATTCCCAAGTGCACTTCATTTCCACTTTTCTTTCCAGATAGAACATCTCATGTTATTTCATTACACATAAACATGAAAAACTTGAAAGTAATATTATATTCTATATCACAAATATAAAAGAATCTATTAACAGCAAATCCGGTACAATTTCCAATACAATCTCCGATATTATTTATTCTATGGCGGTTGTATAGTGTTCTGCACCGCTAAAGCTTTTCCCATTGCGGCGGCCTCTGTTCTGCTTCACTATAGTGGGATAGCACGGGTATTGACAGCTATTGACTACTTTGTATTTCACCGGTACTAATTCAATTTCAATGACTCTTTTAACTCATAAAAACTAGTAATTCAAGCAAGATACTAAATATAACAGTCGTGGACGTTTGAACTATTTACATAGTTATCCACAAGGGAGCAACCAAGAAACAACACCACACAAATCCACTTTCCTCTACAACCTAAACCCCACATTTTAAGGGCAATAACAATTTGAAAACAGGACAATACAGGAGTCAAGTTAAAACCCAGATGAGTCAATTATCCCTCTTCACCCCATCACAAAAGGTTTAACCATACCCTGTTTCTTCATATTTTCAAACACCCTCGTTGGACATTCTAGGATTTACGAGTATTTAAGCTCAAATATTTTTCTAACAACAATTGATCTAAACCTAGGAATTGAAAAGGGAAAAATAATAACATGTTGAGAAATGAATTATTCACTTTGTGATAGAGGGCTTTCTAGAAATTATCATCATTAGCCGCCTTCCGCATCAAAGAATTAGTCATCGAAAGACGAAACAAACTCGGATAATACAAATAACTAAGTGTGTGTGTGTCATAATCTCAGGAACAAGCTACTCCATCATAGAACAACCACTCCGAGGATCCGCCAACACAATCGACGCATGAGAAGGACTGGTCTCCATCATTTTCGCAACACTTTTGTTCAAGTAAGGCACAAAATCTTGAGAATCGGAGGAAGCGCGGTTGCAGTGGTTGAACGGCGGCATGAATCTGGTGAGTGAAAACCAAGCTAAAATGGGCGGTTGAGTCTAGGCAGTTGCCCAACCTGGCTGGGCGCTGACTTCGCCACTGATTTTACTTATATAACTTTTTTACATACAATTGTTTTTTATTAGCATATTCTATGCTAATAGTTAATTTCTTGTTTATCATATTTCAATTACATAAAAAAAACAACATAGTAATTTTCTAATAAGTTTAAATTAATATCCTAACACCCTTTTTCAAATTAATAATATAAATTTAATTTTTAAATCAAATACTATCATAATTAAAATTAACTATAAATTTGTAATATGTCGTATAAAAGAGGTTTATAAACACTTTCATTTGGTGAAATGTTTTAATATGGGACTTTAAAAAAATACAACATACTGCAGCATACATGACATATATAATCTTATAGCTTTGTAACAGCTCTACGGCATAAAACAGAAGCAAAGCAAAGCTTGATCATTACGATTCACTATTTCCATTTTAAAGGAAAATAAATGTAGTTGGGGCAAAGGCATATGCTACAAGGACTATTCTTTTTTTGCAAAACGATGGAACTTTGAAGCCATTGGCCATTGAACTAAGTATACTTACCTGCAAGTGATATTTTTGATCCTGTTAGTAAAGTTTACTTACCTGCAAGTGAAGGTGTTGATGCTTCAATTTGGCCAAAAATATGAAAATACTATGAAAAAATTGTATTTCTTATCATTTGTTATTTATTTATTTCAGTCCTTTTTTCTCCCTCAAGTAAGTCTATTGTTTTCTAAAAAAAAAAAAAAGGTTGTGCGTCATGCTGAGGTTTGTTAGCTTATATATCATATATCATGAATAACATATTGGATTTTCATGTGAATTCATAAACTTAACTTAAAAATGTCCCACTCAAATTCTCTCTTATTGAACCATTTTTCTAAAACTTAATTTGATGTTTTTCTTTTTATGATTATTACAATCAAAATCTCTCAAATAATCATGTAAAATTTTCAAGAAAACTTGAGAATTGTCTTTCAATTATACAAACCAGTCTTATGGGACAATCAAGAACTGGAATTTTTGGATCACCAAAAAATGAAAAGAACAAGTAACTTCTGCAATTTTTGGATCACCAAACTTGCAACAGATTATTAGTTCAAAAAAAATCTTATGGGACAAGTAAATTCAGTGCTTTGTGTTATATATGTACAAGAAAAAATAGTCATAGCATTAGTTTTATATTTACAATCTTAGTTTATCGTTCATGGCATTTCAAGTTCCCCAAACAAGAAGCAAAACATGGTAATTACATCTGTATTGAACCATTGGAAGTTGATGTATCAGATTTAAGTTTACAGTCAGATTGTAGAGCTGATAACCACGAATCCACCTGAAAAACAAATAAAGGAGGGAACTACACTGTTTAACATGATAAAATAGATTCGCCGTGTAGTTACTAGAAGTTGATAATCGATAAAATATGTTGAAAATTATTTATTGATTGTTCGCTGCATACATAGTGTTAACTACTAAGAAACAAATATTCATAAGTTAGACATACCTGTATCTTAGAACTGCTTGAACATTCGTATCGTAAACCATGTCGAGTTAAAATACAAAAGGCGTATCTCATCTCACCATCTTCACGCCTAAAACTTGGTAATTGGTTTACTTCAACAATGTCAGATAGAAGCGTTGAATCTTGAGGACTTAAGTCTGCAATGTAAGATAGATTTTTTTGTTAAGTATTGTCATGCATTTAACTAGAAAATGAAGATCAAGCTACTAACACTTAGCAGACATATATAAAGGAATCTGAATCCACAAATGTTCTTTTGACTAAATCTGTTGGAAGCGACATCTTAGCAAAACTTGCATCCGATTCAGATCAAGTACAACAACAAAAAGTTTTTTTTGTTGTTGACATTGAAAGATGTCGAGATTAAGGCATTGAAGTGTGAAGAGAACTACAACTCTTCATATAAATAGAACTATAGGAGTTGGTTGCTACCTGTACATAACAAATATAAGAATAGGCATTCACCCTGAAGAACAACAAAGCGAGGAAGCCAATCATCTACATCGGTATCGTCAATAGTTGGAGGTTCACCCGGTAGTGCCGCCCATCTCTATAGCAAAAAAGCGAAAGGCAGTTAGGCAATGAGAAACAGATAGATGCAAAGTAAAGTAATGGAGGTTTGGACAGTAAGTACAGTTCGGATGAATAAATATCCAGATAGACGAGCTGACCGTAAAATTTCATCAATATTTTCCAACCTGTATCAAGAAAAAGATCAAAGTTAGGTCTAGACAACACCGCCATTGAAGGGGAAGGGTTGTCACAAAAATTAAACACGGAATTTCAACTCCGACATTGAGTAACTTCCTTGGCAACAGTTATAAGTTATGGATGACTCACTGAGCTTTTAACTGAGCCTCCTTCTCTTCTAAATCAACAAGTTCTGATCGAAGAGACTCTACTTCCGCAGCTGTTAATTCAACCTACAAAATATAGTTGATTTAGAGTCTTTTCATCAATGAAAAAAGGCGCATTGTGCAAAAGTTACTGAAAGCAAACCTTTCCCTGACTACAACTATTGGGACTCCATGGAAGCCTCCGAAGGGTAAACAAATTCAACATGAAGAAAGCAGCCCTCAATATTGAGAACTCAAACTAAGCACGTTTAAAGAAAACAGTGATTAATTGATTAGGTTAAAATCAAATTAAATCCCTAATTCATCAATTTAAAAAAGAGAGTATTATGGAAGTTAGAAATTGGATCCTCTCCTTCCTTTGTACCTGTGGTGGTAGGACGAAGAGAGAACGAAAACGACGGATGCTGCTGCTTCCTACTGATTACGGAAAAGGATTTCTTTCATAAGAAGGAATCAATCAACTCTACCTAAGTACTACGCTACGCCTCTAATCTTTTTGTTTAGCTTAGACACCTATGCTAATCCTTGTTTCTTTATGTTTATCCAATATCAACTCCATCAGTTTTAAAATTTTGTTTACTGTCGTTTTAAATAAAAAAATTATGTTTTAAAATAAATATTATTCACACTTTTTAATATAATAATAATAATAATAATTTTTAATTGTATGATTTAATTAATATTTTGTATATTATTGACAAATTTAATAAAATTACAATTATTTTATAATATTATTATTATATTTTTTAATCTGTGCAAATGCAAAGTAAATTTTATTTTTAATTTATTATATCACTTTTGATTTTTTCACTATGGTTAAACCAACCACATTAAATGGGAAGGTTCTCTAGATATGGTTAAAGTGTTTTAAATTGTAATTGAATTCTCCAAATAATTGAACCGTGGTAGAATACTGATTCATTTAGCTCGGTTTGGTTTTTAACCAATTATTACTTGTTTGAATTAAAGGTGGTATTGTCATAATTATATAGAGCCAGCTATTTTAGATCTTCGATAAAAGTATAAAACCATATCATTATGATATTCATCATCGCTCATTAGAATTTGTTTGCTAAAGTTTTAAAAAGAGTTTTTATATTTTAATTTTTAATTTTGCAATTTATATTAATAAAAAGGTCTAATATCTCTTTTGGTCCCTTAACTTTACTCAATATTTTGTTTTTGTCCCTAAACTAAAAAACATTATATAGTGGTCCATTAACTAGCATTCCATTATATATTTTGGTTCTTCTGTTAACTTTTTTATGAAAAAATTTTAATTGTAGCCTTGCTAGACCATTTAAACCTGACATAGAATTTTTTTTTATTTTATATTGATTTAAATATTAGAAATAAACAAGATAAGAAGTTGAAAAGTAATAGGGCAAAGAGGGCAAAGATCCTTCTTCTCTATTTATTGCTCTGCGTGTATTCAACTCGTCAAATACTCTCCCAAACAAGGTCCTTCTTCTCTTCCTAAAAATATTGATCTTCTTAGAATTTGCCTCCAACAACACTCTTCATCTCAAAATAAAAAATTAAATCATCAACGGTCCTTGATTAGTTATGACTATCCCTCTCTGTTTTGGTCCGATGAGTTTTACGTTGCTTGGAGTGAAAGGTTAGGTTTTGTAGGGTTCATGGGTTGTGGAGTGAGGTTGGTGGTGGTACTTTGTATCTGGTGTATGAGAGGCACAATGGTAGGTTTTTGTGGATTGAGGAATGAGTTTATTAGTGTGAATGAGGACGCGTTGAACTGATCTCACCTGATCAGAAGGAGTCACTGACCGACCACACGTCTGAGTTGTCTGACTGCTGGAGAGAATGAAGGGGTGTACCTGAAACACACTCCGATGCCAAAGTAAGAGTTATGCAGAGTAATAACAAGTACAGAAACAGAAGTAAGAATGAGATTATCTGACCCTCTAGTGAAATAGGGTATTTATAGTGTGCCCCCGCCGTAGGACCAACAGTTACTTCGTGTTGGGCTAGGTTGCCAGACCCAATGCTGGTAACTGCTAGGACTGACGTGGCGTCAAGAAGACCAGCACATGGTCTTCGCCCTAGTGTAACTGCTTCGTGTTATCCGGGAGGTGGAGAACTGAATAATCAGAGTATGGGTAGTTACCTAATGATGTGTCTCCGTGTAGGGGACACGTTGAGAGCGTGAGGGAGGTCAGAGGAGCCCTCCGAGCTGGATAGGGTCTACCCGATGGTTGGATAGAAGGGAGAGTGTGCCTGACAGATGTGAGGTGCCTGCTCGACTGCCAAGAGGTTCGTGCCCGACGAGAGAAAAGGCTCTGCCCGACGGGAAGGCGATTTAGGTCTTATTGGGCCTTCTAACCCGATGTGGGGTTGGGCCTACTCGAATGTGGGGTAAGTGTCGGCCCAGTCCAGAACAGTAGCCCCCCCAAGTCGTTGCTCGTGGTCAAACGAGCTATGACTTAAAGTGCAGAAGTGTAGAGCATGTTGCTTCACCGGTCTGTCAGCGACCATACTGCTCGGGCGAGTCTACGATGCGCGGGGAGGCTCGCGGACGAGGATAGAGAATCTGAAGAGACGTAGGGAAAGCTGAGAGTCGCCACGTGTCACCCTAGGGAGGCTACGAGCTAGGTACTTGAATGCTTAGTGACGTTTCGTTTCTCGTGCTAAGGGCGTATATATACGTGGGCTCAGTCCGCCTTTTCGCTCACTTGTCTCCTTGATGCCGCTCAGTTTTCTGAATTCTCTGCTTGATGTCTACAATATTTCTGCTCGACGCAACCACCACTCTCCGCCTTACCACGTTACATTCCGCCCCCTATATCGGTGTTTTAGTAGGTTTCCGGCGACGTTTCCGGAGGCTCAGATGGGCCTGCCGGGGAGGCCGTGGATGTTTCCAGTGAATACGCTGGAAAATCCTTCAAAATTAGGATTCTAACCGAACGTCCCTGACACTTGCGATGTGTGACCCGAGGAGACGTGATGATTGTTGAATGCCTCGAGGGTGTTTGATGAATACCCCGGGCACGATCGATAAGTCTCCCGAGGACAAAGGATGAATTCCTCGGGGACGATAAAGGATATAGGGTTAACCCAAATTGGTCCTCTGGGCGACCCGGGGGCGTGTCGCAGTTCTGCTCGGCTTCAGGCGTCCACGCCCTTTCACTTGAACTGCGGTGGAAGGGTGGATTTGATTTAGTTGTAGAATTCACCGAGTTCCTCTGCTTTTCAGGTAAATGGCTACCCGCGAAGAAGAAGAAATAACGTGGTATCTGTCCAACGACGAGGGGGGTCGCCAAGACGGGACCGTCGTGGAGCCTCCGGACAGGCCGTCAAAAGAATAGGTCGGGGATGAACCCCGCAATTACATGTCACATTTCGTTGACGATGACGCGAATGTCTTTGCCGTAATCGAGGACATAGTCGTCGGGGCTCCTCGCCAGTTCAGGGCATGTCGCCTTCGGGAGCGGGATCGTATTTGCTCTCGCTATGACGGGGAATTATATTTAATGTAGATTTGTTTTGAAGATTTAATGGGCTTATAGTTGTATTAACTACTACATAAATAGATAGTCTCCCCTAGTGGTTAAGTATTGTGTATACACATAATTTGGTTTCTTGGACTTGTTTTTTGTGGTTGAGAAACAGGGTGTATGTATTATTAGTGATAAACTATGTCCTATGTTATTTGTGGAACTATGTGCTTATAGGTTTAATCAATAAGTAATCAAAGATAAAGTAAGACAAGGCTAGATCTATCATGGTTTTTATGATAACGACTTGTGAAGATGTAAATTGTCTTTGATGGAAACAAATTATATAAACAAGCAAGTGCTGAAACTATTTCAAGCGGTCAAAGATGAACAAGATAGTTTATCATACTCTTTCTCAGAATAAAGCTTATGAGTTAAGGTTTAATGACCACCCTGATATTTTCTAATGGTGGTGACCAAACTTGAAGATATATGAAGCCTCATCTCCACTAAGATTCAAGCAAAGTGCTTATATGGTTGGCATATTCGGGAAAGACTTGAAGCCTTATAGTGTGAAAGAGAGGGAATCTTGTATGAGTGATCAGTGTTTTTTAAACACACAAGCGGTTTTTTGTAATGCAATATGGTTTTTGATTTGAATGCGGTCAAACCTCTAAGAGCACAGATCAATCTTCAATAATATTGATTGTAAATCTTAATTAACCACATCTTGAATAAATTTGAATCTCTTGAATATAATAAATACAATCTTGCTGAAATAGATTCATCTTAAATATTTCTTAAATTGAAACGTGCATAAACAATAAAATCTATGATCATACATAAAAGAAAACAAATCTTCAAATGCGCGAGAATTACTACAAATAGCTTGCGCGCAAAGCAACTAGAGCGAGACAGAATGTTTCCCACAATGTTGGATATTATGCTTAACATGTTTCTTTATACTAAAGTATCAAGATCACTTTGAGAGAGAATGTCCCACAACCTCCTTGCTACACATGTTGCGTATAAAATATTAACAATCACATGTAATAACAAGTTCTATATAGATTATAAATGAATAAAATGTTAGATATACAAGACATCTGTAGTATAAAATGTGATGCATTTCTTATTCTTGACACACCTCCTTATTCTAAAAATTGATCTTTAATTAAATGAAAACTCAAATTTAATTTTTGTGTAATTTTGTGAATAAAGTCATATATTTTGTCTAATTTCATGAATAAAGTCATATAGAAAGAACAAAATTATAATTATACCTTAAATAAATTTAAATAGAGGTGTTTGTGGTCGGTTTGGTTCGGTTTAGAAAGAATTTGATGTCCAAACTAATAAAAAAATATATAAATTGGTTTAGATTGGATTTTCACATTTTTTTCGATAAAACCCAAACTGAACTAAACCGAAAACTAACGAATTAGTTTGGATTGGATAGATCGGATATATTATAGTGCAAATTAAATTTTTTTTTATAATTTACATAAAACTAATTTTATAAATTTTGTAATTTATTTTTTCGTTTTTTTTATATAAGTTGTGAATGTCACAAATGAAGTTTCATTTTTTTTCTTTCTTAAAATTGAATATTGTATATTAGTTTTCATGATAATAATATAAATTATATGAAATAATATGATTGGTTCGAATAGATGGTATGGCAGATAAAATTTTTAAAATTCATTATTTGAATTAATTAACATTAAATTTTATTGATTTAATTTGATTTTTATCCTAATTAAAAAAAATGTGTTGCCCCTAAATTAAATTGATTTATGTTGTTACCACTTTGGCTTGTGCCCTTGTTAAACACCGTGGAACAAAAACATCTGAACACATTATGTCCAATGTCCATTATTATGCCCCTAAATTAAATTTATGAAGTTACTTGGTTCACAGTAAACAGAAAAAGTGAGCATCAATCACTATAAAGCTTGACTAATATTCTAAAATATAGACCTGACTTTTTCTTTGCCTTGACGGGTAGGTCATTAATTGAGCACAGTATTTCATGTACTTAGTCCATAACCTTTTTTGTACCGCTCCCCTTCACATATCATATGCTTATCCTTATATTATAAATTCACTCTTGTATGTCCATACTTTTCCTCATCCCTCTTTTCCTTTCCATTACCACTCTTTCAAAAATATAATCATGATCCGTACTATATTGTTTGCATGTCATGAATTTCTTAACATGAAAATCTCAGATGAAAAGTTAACGGAAAAACTGAAAGACACGAAGGTAGTAGAAGTATACAGAGATGAGTTAGCCAATACAAAGATGAGAAGAAAGGCAGTTAAGAAAAGTGTGAGGTTTGTGGATACAGAACGAGATGCTCTTTTGGAAAAAGACGAAGAGAAGGATTTAATGAAAGGGAGAAGAAGCTGCAACAAGAGTGATTGTATGGGTGAATTTGGAGAAAGAGAAAAGGTGAATATTAGAGTGAAGGTAAAGATGACAAGAGAAGAAGCTGCTAAGTTTCTGTCAAAATTTAATAACAAGGAAGGAGGGGTTCTTCCATTGGAGGATGTTGCTCCTCAGCTTCTCGCTCTCCCACTTGACAGAGTTACCTTTCTGTCCACTTGAACCAACCATGTATACATATATAGATATTATACTTGTAGTTACTAGTTAGTATGTGTCTTATAAAATATCAACTTCAATATGAGACTACCTTTTAAAAATAAATGTTTATATATTTAATCATAATTTTAAAATACCAATGTCAGTTTTAATTATAAAAACAATTTGATAATATTGTTCAAGTCAATAGTAATTGATTTTCTTGATTCATGAACACATTCTATGTCTTAGGGGATGATCTGAGTATGAATGCGGTGAAACAATTTATGATGAAGAACTGAATCTATAACGATGAGGAGTATTTTATTCTGCATTTCCATTCCTTCCATGACAAAGACACTGTGCTGGTGAAGGGGCCTTATACAATCCATAATAGGCCGATGTTGCTTCGTGAATGGAACCTTGATTTTAATATGAAAAGGGATATGCTCAGAAATATTCCCCTTCGCGTGAAGCTTCCTCAATTGCCTCTACACTTGTGGGGAGCTCGAAGTCTAAGTAAGATTGGAAGTGCTATTGGTACACCTTTGTTATGGATGACTGCACGACAAACAAACTCAGAGTTTTGTATGCCCGTATCTCGGTTGAAGTTGATATCACTCAAGAGTTGAAGAAAGATATAACCATTAAAGATGTTAAGGGCACGCACATGAAACAACCTATTGAATATGAGTGGAAACCTCTGTACTATACGAAATGCCAGAAAGTTGGACACAATTGTGATAAACAAGTGAAACCTAGTAAGGAATGGAGGCCAAAAATGAGTGCTCAACATAGTAGGGTGGAGGACAAGCCCCCTGAAGTGACAAAAGATGCAGAACCAAGTGGTGAGAATGTGGAATGGACCAGAGCTACAAATAGCATAAGAGGCAAGGGAAAATGAGTGGTCAATGAAGGTGCATCTATCCAATGTCAAAATGGTTTTGGACTGTTAGGGATTTTAAATTATCCCCTAGTATGTCAAAATAAGGTGGCATGATCGTGTCTTGGAATGTGAGGGGGATAAATAAAATGGTAAAAAATATAGAGGTAAGTTCCAGCCTTCTATGTCTTAACCCTATGATAGTTGTGATTATTGAAACTAGAGTTAAGAAGGACAAGGATGCTAAGATTAGAGACAAACTTAATCTCAAAGGCATGTTCATGGATAATTACCATAATCATGATAATGGTAGACTCTGGATTTGGCGGAACAATAATAAAGTGGAGGTTAGGAAGATTGCTAGCACTGTGCAGTTCATCCATTGTGGTATCTATGATTTATGTGGCAACTTCTTATTTTGGTTTACTGTTGTTTATTGTCTTAATCAGTTGGATCATAGGAGGAGGTTATGGAAGGACATTGATCAAATTCACCTGTCCCAGCAGGGCCCTTAGTTCTTGATTGGAGACTTTAATAATATCTTGAAAACTATGGACAGAAGGGGGAACATGGTTCATGAAAATGAATATAAGGATTTAATTTCCATGATGGATAGAAGCAATCTGAGTGAGATGGATAGTATTGGTGGTTACTACACATGGTCTAACAAGCATAATGAGAATGTTATTTACTTTAGGATTGATCATGTTCTGGCTAATATGGAATGGTATAAGAAATACATTCATGTCAGCCTTAACGTTTTGGCTCCTAGTGTTTCAGACCATGCTATACTTCTTTTAAATAGTCATGAGCTAGACAGACAAAAGAGGATGAATCATTTCAAGTTCCTGAATAACGTGAATGATATGGATGGTTATCAAAAGGAAGTACCCAATAGGTGGAGGGCCCCTCTTAATGGCAGGCCTATGTATGTCTTGTGGAAGAAGCAAATCAGGGTTCATGCTAGTATCAGAGCTCTTAGAAAACCTCTGATAGGGGCTTCCCACTCCATGAAGAATGCTAGAATTCACCTGCTGGATGCTCAAGATAGGCTTATGCATGATGGGGACAATCCTGATCTTATTAAAGAGGTTAAAGATAACACTGAAGAGGTCTTTAAATGGAGTGAGATTGAAGAGAAAATTCTCAAACAGAGATCTAAAATCATCTGGTTAAGGCTGGGGGATGGCAATAACATATATTTCTATGCTCAAGTCAAGGATAAACGTGGTCACAATGATTTGACAACTATCTATAAGGATGATGACACCCTCCTATCCAATCAAGAAGACATATAAAAGGGAATTATGGAGTTTTATGGTAATCTTATGGGAAAAGCTAATGCCCTCAATTGTCTGTTGATAAAAGAAGATTGCTTGAGATCCTTGTTACTGAAACTGAGAATGGCCATACCCTTAAGGATATTGGAGACTTAAAGGATGGGTTTGGTGCTAAGTTTTTCAAGGCCTTTTGGAGTACTGTCAAGCGGGATGTTATTGTAGTTGTTATGGATTACTTCAATAATAATAATAGGATGTATCCTGCTATCAATTCTTCTTTGGTCTCTCTTGTCACTAAAGGCAATGCAGGAAAAACAATCAAAGATTTTAGATCCATCTCTTGTTGAACCATAATTTACAATATCATCTCTAAAATCTTGACTCGTAGAATGAGTGTTGTGATGACTAGTATTATTAATCAAAGCTAAGCAGCTTTTGTCCCTGGGCAGAATATCCACGACCACATTCTCTTGGCTTATGATCTGAGTCATGGCTATAGCAGAAAAGATGGAACTCCTAGGTGTATGCTCTAATTAGATATTCAGAAAGCTTATGATACAGTCAACTGGTATGCTTTGGAGAATATCCTTAAGGAGCCTGGCTTTCCAAACAAGCTCACAAGATGGGTTATGATTGTTGTCACTATTGTATCCTGTAAATTCAAAATTTATGGTATGTATACTAGAAATATGAAAGCTATGAGGGGACTCAGGCAAAGAGACCCTATCCCCCTTTACTTTTCATTGTTGTGATGGAATACCTCCAAAGAAGTGTGCACAAGTTGAGTAAGATTCCAAATTTCAATTTCCATGTAAAGTGAGAGAAGCTCCGGATTATTAAAATTAGTTTTGCTGGTGATTGTTTATTATTTACTCGCGGGGATAGTAAATTCATTGGATTACTAATGGAAAGATGAATGCCTTCTCTAAAGCCACTGGTTTGTATGTGAATCTTGCTAAATGCAAGACTTATTATGGTGGGGTGGAGAGCAATGTCAAAGATGAGATTTTTGGCATTACTTCGATTGTAGAGGAGAATCTCCCGTTCAGGTACCTTAGTGTTCCTCTTACTAGTAAAAGGTTATCATCAAGTTATCACTATATTTATTATCAAGGTACCTTAGTGTTCCTCCTTAGCTATGCTGGGAGGATGCAACTTATTAACAACATAATCTCCACGAGACAATCTATGAGGGTATATGTTTTTTGCCTTATTTTGTTTTCTTGTTTCACTTTTAGCCTGTTACAAACATAGTGAAAATATAATTAGTATCTATAAATCATAATCATAAAATTATCAGAAAAATAAGGTTAGTACTAACCATGAATTTCTCAGAATGACGAGACCTCACAAATGTTTTCCAAACCTTCTCCTAAATATAACTATATCTCACCGATGGACGCTTAAGACCAGGATTAGGCTTCCTAATGTAGTCACACGTGAGTTGTGACTTAAACCCCCCTCCAACACGTACCATCATAACTAATCCACTTTTTTTTCAACTTCGAATCATCGATAAACTCAAAATTTAACTACATTACATCAATAAGCATCTATTAGAAATTATAGAAAGTGATATCGTATAGATGAAAATTAAAATTAATACCATAACGTTTGTCCATATGCTATATTTGACATTCTTTTGTGCTTCTTTCCAATCATTTATCAATATACTGACTTTGATACGTCCAAGGAATGCAACATAACTCTTAAAAGGCGAAGAATAATCATTTATCAATTACTGTATAAAACACATCAAACGCAATCAGAAATTTGTGACCAGAGTTATGGACTTTTATTAATTGAGCCTTTATTATGGAACCTCTTTGTTTTTTTTTCCTTTTCGTCTTGAGAATCATTTGTATGAATTTTGTCTGTATAAGTTTTGACGCTACTAGATGAAGAAGATGACATCTATATGTGCAAAAACAACAATAAAAGATTAAACAAATTTTAACCAGACAAATGTAATCATACATATTTAACAACAACAAAACAACACAAGAATAACTTCAACAACAACAACAACAACAATAGCAACAAAAACAACAACAATAACAACAACAACAACAACAACATCAACAACAACAACAACAACAACAACAACAACAACAACAACAACAACAACAACAGGAGCAACAATAACAACAACAATAATAGCAGCAACAACAAAAACAACAAAATGTTAAACAAATGTTTCTAATACACATTTAAAAGACAACAACAACAACAACAATAACAATAATAGCAACAACAACAAAATGTTAAACAAATGTCTCTAATACACATTCAACAGACAACAACAACAACAACAAAATATTAATAAAATGTGAACATAAGCATTCAACATCAACAATAATGTCTCTAATACATATTCAACACATTCAACAAATAACAACAACAACAACAATAACAAATAAGATATTCAACAAATAACAACAACAACAACAAAATACTAAATCAAATGCGAACATAAACATTCAACATCAATAACAATGTCTCTAATACATATTAAACAAATGTCTCTAATACACATTCAATATATTCAACAACAACAACCTTAAATATTCAACATCAACATCATAAACATAAATATCAACAACAATGACCACTGAATAAGTTAAAAGTATGTATCGGAAACTTGATGAATAAGTAAATGAGATTATGTTGTGAGATTCTTCATCCTCCTTCTCAACAGTTCTTGAGCAAAAACGATAGTGTTGTCTTCCTCCTCGACAGTTTGTGAGAAAAACCGATGAACAATGAATGATGAAGATGAAGATGGTTGATTTGTTTGGTCTCGCACATTAAACAAAATGAAAAATGAAAGATGAATGTTAGGGTTGAAATCATGTGACATCTCGTTAATTATTGATGAACGACAAAAGATGAATGTTAGGGTTGAAATCGTCTCGTTTCGTTTTTCAATAGAAAAAATGGCAACTGAAGAGACAATCTAGTTAGTTGTGTTATTTGAAAATGAACAAGGGATACCACCGTGGTCACTTGCCACAACTATGGTAATATAATTTACTTAATGGAATTTTATAAAGAAGTGCCAGTTGTTGCACCCCAAAATTTGCCCTCACAATACAAGACTTTGTGTTCCAAGAAGGTTCACAAGGTTCACAAAATTCACAATTGGTCAGAAGAGTTGACAATTCCCTCAGACAATGCATCTCCTAAGCAGTGCATCCAAAACTAGGGTTTTGACTTTAATCAGGCTAAATGGACTTCCAAGACTTCAAGTGAGCTTCATAACATCTTATATGTGTGTAAGAACCCCCATGTCAAGTTTCAAGACTTTTCTCAAAAGTTTGCTCAGTCAGATGATCAGATAAGTCAAAAGCAGTCAATGCGGTTAAAAGGTCAAACTGAGGTCAACTGTGGTCAAACCAAAGTCAAACTTCATGATTTTTTTTTGCCAACATCAAAGAGAGGTTGGTCGTTTGACTTTTTGCAGGTAAATATCATATGGCATGCATTTTTTTTCTAAAAAAGTAAAAATGGCACAATTGGCAGGAGGACATGTGTAAGGAGTTATGAGTGTGAGAGGTTGAGAGTTCGAATCTCACCTTTGTCACTTTTTTTTGTTTTTTATTATTTTTACTCTAAATTTTTCTATCTTTCATTAAAAAAATAACAAAAATAGTTTTTTATTATTATTTAATTATTATTTTCGTATTTTAATTAAATCATTTTTAAAATATTATTTTTTTCACTTTTTTCTAAATTTTTCATAAAAATATCCAAAAAATCATAAAATAAAAAATATTGAAAAAATTTTGTTCTTTTTATAATATTTTTTATTTTAGGAATCAATAGGATTATTAGTTTTTATTTTAAGTTTATTTTAATTATTTTAAATTATTTAAATTTTATTTTTTCTTAACTAATTATTTAGTTTGGGCTTTAAAATGGGCTTTAGGGACATTATTGACAATTTGGTGTTAACCCTAATTTGTTCCCTATATATACATGTGTTGCCTTGTTGGAAAAAAGGGGAGAGAATGAAAAAAACCTAAGAGGAGTGAGTGCCGTTTGCCGTTATTTAGTTTTCTTCTTCATCCATTACTATTGTTTCTTTTTCTTCATCGTTTACCGTTATTTCTTTTCCTTCATCTATTACTGTTGTTTCTTTTTCTTCATCTTTTACCATTATTTCTTTTTCTTCATCTATTACCGTTATTTCTTTTTCTTTATCTATTACTGTTACGTTTATATATATATAATTTTTAAATTGTTAGAGTTTATATATATAAGATTTTTGATCGAATTATGTCGATACGATGTTTGCACATTTGTGTGCATGACGCGTGACATTTGTGTTAGTTCGATCTGGTTGCGATGATCGCATTTTTGTGTGAGCAATAATACTATTTTTTGCTTAATTTCTTTTTCTTTGCGATAAATTTTGTTTCGTCCGATTTAGATCTGGTTGCGATGAGCGCATTTCTGCGTTAGCAACATTGTTGGGTTATTTGGCACATTTAAAATTCATTATTGCTTTATTATTATTATTATTATTATTATTATTATTATTATTATTATTATTATTATTATTATCATTATTTATTATTATTATCATTATTATCATTATTATTACCATTATTATTATTATTGTTATCATTAATTTATTAAAATTTGTTATAATATAAAAATCTGTTTTTTAAAATAAATAACATTAACATCTTTTCCAAATTAATATGAAAACCTATTATTTTTAAGAAAAACTTTTTTTTAGATAAATTTAAAATAATAACTAAAATCTTTTTTTTAAAATAATAACTAGAACCGTTATTTATTTTATTTTATTATTGTTCAATTCAAATTTCATTATCATATTGTATCTGCTCCTCTCATGTAACCTCGCGAACTTAACAATCGCTCTTTAAATTCTGCCTTTAAATTTCTGCTTGCATGGTTTAAATTATGACATTATCTCTCTGTTTGCATGATTCAATTATCTCACGCGTTTACTATTATTTCTGTCACATTGCACACATCCGAAGGTTAGG